AACCCTTTCCACTACTGCCCACAAGATGGGTATGGGGTGCATAATAAATTAACTAAACTAAAAACTCAGGGGGAATGGGGAGCCCCTTAAACTCCCTGGAGCTAACTGGGCTGATAACGAATGTATTAGACCCTGGCATCAGTCAATGCACCTAAGAGTTATAGCCCTACTGAGGACCACGAGCCAGAATCTGGGCCTCCCCTCAGAGAGGCACGAGGAGCAATAAACTTCAGTGTGGTTGGAAGCATTCTATGTCTGCCATCAACCAGGTCAGGCACCCAGAATGGTAATCACCCCAAAACAAACCCCCTATTCTGGTTAAAATATTGCTACTGAAAGCCAAACTAGTGGACAGAACTCCCCAAATGAAGACGAGCAAACAAGCATGAAGTCACCACGTTGCTGCAACTGCTGTCTGCGCAAAGGGGGAGCCAAAAATGAAAGAAATGCTACCCGTGCCTGCTATCCACCCTGCAGTTCTGTGGCTGATGTGAATTGATAAGGTCGTGCGCCACTGGCTCCTGTGTTTCCAGTTCTGTGTCATGTGGTGTGGTGTTGTATTATTATTGGTGGTGCATGAGCCAGGAGTTATTTCACAAGTACTCGGGTTGCATGCTCCTGGGGTTCCCTTCCCTAGGTGCCTTGTAAGTACTGCCCTTAGGGCTTGGGGCCACCTTCCACAAGTCACCTTGGGGTCTACCTTCGCAAGGTCTTTTGCTGCTCGGTGATTGACAGCCCTTGGGAGTCAGCTGGGGTGTTCTTGCACTCCTGTTTGCCTCTGGGTAGGGGGTATGTTTTTTCACTGGTTAGGATGCAGGATACTGTGCAGCTAGTTTTCACCTCTCATAGCAGCCGGTTCTGTTCCGCCCCGGTACGTTATCCTCTTGCTGGGATTTTCTTTTGTTTTTGTTTTCATGCCTGGTGGGGGGGGGCGGGTCTGCCCCTTAATGTTGGTCACACTTGGGACCAACCCGGGACCACAGGATTACAAGTCCAGTGTGCTGTCCGCTCGACCGACCGGCTCCCACAGAGCCGCACATCCTGCCAGATCTTCTGGGTTTGACCAGTGGTCCCCCCTTCTTTCCTGCTTTTTCAGCTGCTCCTGCCTTTTCTTTTGAGGCAGGGCATGTGGAGGATGGCTCAGGCCTGGATCCTCATGGGAAGGTTCCTGGAGCGAGGAAGGGGTTGATTTGGGAGCCTTGGGCCCTGTTGGATGCTACTTGAGTTTTTGTAACCTCTGCGCGGGGCTTGCTGTTACAGGGGGTGGGGTTTTCTTTTCCTCTCTCCTCGTATGAGTTGGATATGGTGTCAGTCCCTTCCCTGGTTCAGTCCCGTCCTTCCAGATATTTTCGGCCTCTAACATCCCGCCTCATGTGGTGTGGGAAGCCATTGCGGCTTACCTCATGCGCAACCCGGATTATTCCTCCATAGTGGATCCTTCTGCCTTCGTGTTTCGATCATCTTTTCCTTACTGGGTTCATTATGAGGTTCCAGAGTCGTCCTGGCTTGCAGACTGCCCCTTTTTCTCACTGAAAGGTTGGCATAAGTTCTGTCGGTCCCGCACTCTTGAGTGGCATGAGGCTCATACGGTGGTCCAGGTTTTCCTGGGGGGCGACTTTGAGCACCTCAATGTGTGCTTATTCGCCCCTGCCCTTCCTCGGGATGTCGCCATTGTGAAGCTTCACATGCAGGTTCCCACCCTCTCGGCTGTTCTGGTTGGTGAAAACGTGCGCCCCCGTGGTCTGTTGGCGTCGATCTTGCAGTTCTTTTCCCTTCTTGAGCTATTCTCAGACTGGCATGAGGAAGATGTTGAGGCGCTTATAGCCGATCCTGGGTCTGGTACGTTGGTCTCAGCGGTGTGTGCGTCGTCTGCTCTTTTGAAGCTGTTCGCACCGATCATATTGACACGTTTCGATTCATCCAGGTTTCAGGGATTGGCTCAGTTTTGTTGTGGGGCGTCAAGCTTATTGCTCTCATTGCCTTCCATTCAACATAAATCTGGCACAGTGTGTGTTCACACACCTTACCGGGGTTGTTGTGGCCCGTCTGAGTCTCTTAGGGGGTTCGGGTTCTCGCCTACATCGATGACTGGCTGGTGTGGGCTCCCAGCCTGTCCACTTGTCTGCTCACCCGGGATTTGGTTCTTTCCCAGCTCACTGGGTTCAGGTTCCTGGTGAATTGGAGGAAGTACCATGTGGTTCCCCTCTCAGGTTCAGTCTTGCTGGGTCTTGTGTGGGGCTCTCGGACCACTTCCTTGTCTCTCCCTCCAGAGTCTCTGCTTCGGCTGCAGTCCTGGCTTCGCTTGTCTCTTGGGGGGGTTCCCGGGTCACCCGGTGGTTGCTTGAGGGTTTGTGCGGAAGCCTGAAATTTGATGTGATGATCTACCCGCCGTTTTGGGTTTGGCTTCATTGGCTGTTCTGGTTCCTTTGGGAACAGCCCTTCCACCTCTCTCATGACAGCTAGGTTCGGCCTCAGGGTGCTTTGTGTCGGCTGCTGCGTCACCAGCTTTTTCTTCGGGTTTTCCATGGTACTGTACCTTGGTGCCTACCTGAGCCCCTCACTTAATGTATTCATGGACGCGTCATCTCTTGGCTGGGGCTTTGTGACCAGTGCTCACCAGGCCAGCGAGGGGCAGTGGAGTTCGTCCTTCCATCAGGCCCAAAGCATGGTGCAGGAGTTTGCGGCAGTCTGGGGGTCGCTTCGGAGGGTTCGGGTCGCTCGCGGATCAATGATCCGGCTCCACTCAATCTGCTCCCCGGTGGTTCATTGTCTGAACCGAGGGGGTTCGATGCAGTCCTTGGCTCTTTGGGGCTACTCGCTTCGGGTGACTCGTCAGCTGAATTCTCAGGGTTTGGCTCTCCTGGCTGTTCACGTTCCAGAGGGTGTCCAATGACCTGGTGGACGGCCTGTCTCGTTTCATTCCCCTGTCCATGGAATGGACAGTCAACGCCAACACATTCAGTTGGCTCTGCTAGACGTATGGGCTCCAAGAGGTGGACCTCTTCGCCTTCCCCGACTGCAACGGCGTTGGGGTCAATGCCTTGCAGCAGGACAGGTCGAGGTGGGGTTACCTGTACCTCTTTCTCCTGGTTCAGCTGTTGCTCCAGGTCCTAGCTCGCTTGAAGACTTACCAAGGGAGAGTAGTCCTCTTGGCTCCTTGGTGGCTGGCCAAGCCTTGGTTTCTGGTGCTGCTTACTCGATGTCGGAATCGAGGGTCTTCCTGCGGCTCCACCTCTTTCAGCAGATTGGTATGGTCCATTACGTGGCTGGATTGATCTTCTCCTCGAATCTTCGCGTCTGGTCTAACTCGAGTCTATCACCACTTGTATGGTGAGCAGGAGGCTTCAAATCTTTGGTTCAGGATTGTTTTTCTATGGCTCTTTTTCTGTTGGCATTGGCTTCTGGGGGTCGGGTCGGGTCAGAGAGCTTCATGCTCTCCTCCGGCGCAGAGGTTTCTGCTGTTTTGGTCCTGGTGATAGGTTTGTTCGTTTGCAGCCGTCTCCTCCTTTTCTGGCAAAGAATGAGTCTGTTGCTATCTGGAAGGGTTGATGCATCGGTCAGGGTCAGGCTGGGGGTACATCATGTGTTGTGTCTGGTTGCGGCTCTCCGCCATTATCTGCATGCCATGGCCTCAGTGGCCGGGGACCTGCTTTGGGTTGACCCGGTTTCCATTCTTCCCTGTTCTAGGGCTCTGGTCTCCCAGGTCATCCGCAGGTTACTCGGTCCAGCCAGCCTGTGGTCTATCCTCATGCCCTCGACGTTCGTGAGTTTGGTGTGCTAGCTGCCGTCTTCCGTAACATGTCTTGGGCTGACATTTAAGCACAGGATTTTTGGAGGTCGAACATGGTCCTGGTCGCTCACTACCTTGTCAGTGTTCCTGGGCCTAGTCGGGCCAGTGTCATATTGGGTCAGTGATTGCAGCTAGTTGTCTCGCCTTCGTGTTGAGGAGTGAGTGCCGACCACCTCCTGGGTAAGTTCCTCTTGTTTTGTCTTTGGGTAAGTAGCTATGGGGAGCCGAAGGGTCTCTCCCCAGAAATCCAGCATTGAATGTAATGAAATGCCATTTTGTGGGAGTCCCAGAGGCTCACCGGCAACCCTTCCTCCCTCCCTCCGGTCGGCATTTTTTTTTAGCGGTTTTTGACATCCAGCCTCAGAACTGCAGAGTAGATAGCTGGTGCAGGGGTCTAGGGCTCCCGATTTCCCCTCCAGGGAGAGGGGAGGTGGGGTTGTGCAGACAGCCATGTAGCGAAGTGGTGATGTCATGCTCGTTTGCACATTTTCATTTGGGGAATTCTGTCCACTATTTCAGCTTTCAGTAGCAATATTTTAACCAGAACAGGCGATTTGTTTTGGGGCGCTTATCTTTCTGGGTGCTTGACCTGGTCAATATCAGACATAGAATGCTTCCAACCACACTGGGGTTTCTATAAGCCATTGCTCCTTGTGCCTCTTTGAAGGGGGGCCAGGTTCTGGCTCGTGGTCCCTGGTAGGCCTAGAACTCCATATGCATTGGCTAATGCCAGGGTCTAATACATTCATTTCAGCCCAGTTAGCTCTGGGGAGCCTCTGGATCTCACCCAGAAAATGGCATTTCATTACATTCAATGCTGGTTTTATTTTTCACATGTGGTTTTCTGCATACATATTATATATATATATATATATATATATATATATATATATATATATATATATATATATATATATATATATATATATATATATATATATATATATATATATATATATATATAATATGTATGTATATACATATTATATATATATATATATATATATATATAATATTATATATATATATATATATATATATATATATATATATATATATATATATATATATATATATATATATATATATATATATATATATATATATATATATATATATATATATATATATATATATATATATAAAATACATATACATTATATATAAATATTAAATTGAACCATCAGCCTAGTGCACCTATCAAACTTACCAAAGCATTTAGAAAGGTTGGTTTGCTTGTCAATGAAAACCTTTGCAGAGATGACTTTGCCAAATGGCCAGAATGCTTGGGCAAGTTCTTGGTCTGAAAACTCCTGTGGAAGGTGGTAGATAAAGAGGTTTGCACCATCAGGCCCCTCGACTTGTTTGCCTGCAGGATTAGATGATGATGCAGCTCCTAACCCGGCAGTGGCAGTAACATTGTTGGGGAAACCTGTAAGATAATTTATATTTCACTAGTAAGATAAATTATCAATTATAGCATATAATCAATGAATAGTAAAATTATTGAAAATGTAAACAAGGTAATACATATGTAACATAAACAGGGAACAATGGTTTAAAGCGCAACAAGCCACAATGTAAGACTGAAAATAGATGCTTTTTCACACACAGGGTATAAACCCATGAAACCTGATGAAGCCATAAATGCCAAAACTCTGTTGATTTTAAAATCCAGATTGAAAAAATTATCAGGACAAATGGGGAAACCATTGATGAGCCGCTGGCTTTCTGTCCTCATCGAGACCACTAAAGTGTTAATGGCCCTCAGGTAAAATCAGGTAAAATGTCCATAATGAAAGAAAATAAAAATCATAAAATAAATTAAGGAAAGAAATGCTGTTTCATGTTCTAATAGTAGCATAAAATGGGATTACCTGTATTCAGTTACATTCTTATAACCACTTCTTTACAGATATGGTTAAATTAACAAATGTCTTTTTAAAATTATCATAAATAACAAGAATTTTGTTTAATTTATCATCACATCTAGGCCCTCAGGAAACATGTATGTAGTGAGTATATTATGTCAATAATATACTCGCTCCAAGAGTACAAGGAGAACTCTCGAGTACACGAATTTGTGTTTTGCGAGCTCATACCATATAATATATAGAAGAAAAATAGGGTCAAGTTTCAGAGACCTCCCAAAAGCACATTCTTCAATTCATATCTCAAATCTCCCTTCTTTTGACCCACAAATGTACTGTATAAGGTAATTTATACATTTACCAATGATGTACAAAAATGTAAATATTACCTTTCATTCATTCATAGAAACATGTTGAGATGCACTAGAAGTTATGCAATGTTTGGGCGATGCCACAGTGCAGGAATGTATCCCGAAAAATGTAGTGTGTTGAAACACAAGAAACTGGCACTAACTCGTGATATGCAAACCATGCTTACTATAAGCAATTAAGTGTTGAAGGATGTGGCTAGGCCATGCAAAAGTATGTGCTACACCAGATTAAGGCTTCATAAGGGGTCTACTGTATATGAACGTAAGTAAGTAATTAATTATCAACAAGCCAGGAATTAGGCTATGTAGCACTGTATATGTACTGTATATGAAAACCAATCTAAAGAATTTGCCAAGGCTTCAAATTATAGCTGTCACTATAAATGTGATGCAGTTGTTGCTTTCTTGCACTAACATAGTAAAAATAAAATTAAATGTATGCCAACAAATGCAACTCATGAATTGAAGCTGAACACCTGAATAAAGAAAAGAACGGAAAATGCAGATGAAAAGGGAAATACTGGCACAAAAAATGAAATAAAACAATTTTCTGTGGGGAGTCCTGTCTGCTCCCTGAAACTATCAAACTGACATGTGCCATATTTTTGATTTTGAGATATATACAAGAGTTGTTACATTCTTGTACAGCCACTAGTACGCGTAGCGTTTCGGGCAAGTCCTTAATCCTATGGTCCCTGGAATACGATCCCCTGCCGCGAAGAATCATTTTTTCATCCAAGTACACATTTTACTGTTGCGTTAAACAGAGGCTACAGTTAAGGAATTGCGCCCAGTAAATCCTCCCCGGCCAGGATACGAACCCATGACATAGCGCTCGCGGAACGCCTGGCGAGTGTCTTACCACTACACCACGGAGACTGCTAAACCTATATTAGTTTTGTGCCCTCAGTCTCTGGAGTTCAAGTGACCAGCGCCAGAACCTTGTCCCCTCAGAGAGGGGCAGGGAACAATGGCCAGTATGAGCACTCTACATTTAGAGTTTGTCATGTCTGCCATCGACCAGGGATACCACCAGAAAGGTAGGCTAATCTACTACACCTCTAACTGGTTAAAATTGCAACCTACATCCAAACAGAGCCAAAGAACTCCCCAAACAAAAACTCTGAAACTAGTGCACCTGCTCGTTAGTGCCCCCCCTTCCCCGACAGGGAGACGCTCGCTCAGTTGAACCAGCCGCACCACCCCCAGTTCGTTGACTGATGTGCTGGTGTCCACACACATCTCCTCTGGCCTCGAATAGAGTCTGGCTTTGGCGTTTGTGGCTTTACCAGCTGTGGTGGTGGTGGCCAGGTGTTCTTTAAGTTCACTGGGCTGCATGTGCCTAGAGCTATCTTCCCTAGGTGCCCGGTAAATACTCCCCTTGTAAGTCAGGGTTATCTTCCCTGGGATGTTCGGGTCTTTTTGTTTTCTTTGCTTTCTTGGTGCAATTTGCTTCGTTGGCAGTGGAGGTCTACCTAGCTTCACATTAGGCTAGCCTAATTGGTTGTGTTGGTGGTTCTCCTCTGTTTCCCTGAGGTTTCACAGCGACCGCTGGTTGTCAGTTTGCCTGCAACAGACATGAGTTACCGGCTTAGCTGGCACCAGTGCCTGGGCTTCACATAGGGATAACGTACCCATGGGACCTGGAAAACTCCGTTGGGCTCAGGGGTACCATGGATGCGACTTCCGAGCCCTGTCACACATTGTGTGATGTTGAGGGTTGTTCGTTGCCTCTGCCTCATGGTGACGATCATCCATCCTGCCTTTGTCATCCTGCCTGTTGTTTCGGAGACACCTACGACTGAGAGTCTTGCAGGACATGTTTCCTGCTTGTTACTCAATTTACCCATTCCTCATCTGAGGATGTTAGGGGGTCAGGCGGCGGCTTTTTGCATGCTAGATATTCTGTGTTGCAGCGGCCTAGGTTGGTTGCCTGCTTGGACGCCCCAGGGCTACCCAGTTTGGATTTAGGGATCAGGATTTAGGGGTCATTGGTTACTTCAACTTTGGTTCAGTTCATGCCCTTGCTTTCTTCCCATACTGGTGTTGTTCGCTCTGTTCCCCCCCCTCCCCACTTGCTTCTAAATGTCGGAGGGTTTTGGGGCCGGGACTAAGTTTTGCTTGGGATGATGCCAGGGTTTCGCTTGATGATGATGATGAGAGGCACCAGCAGGTGCCTCTCTTTTAAGCTCTTCCCCAGGCAGGGTTTGTTGTTGCAGGGCCAAAGGTTTTCATATCCTCTGTCTCTGACCTTGAGATGGGTGAGGACCCCCTCCCATCACCCCTGGATTTATTTCTGGGGTGCCTTTGGGTTCCCCAGATACATTCTTCCAGAGGTTTCCTTCCTCTCGGATTTCCCCTGTTGAGGTTCGGGAGTCTCTTGATGCTCACCTTCCGCGAGACTCGGTTACACCTTGATACCCCCTTTTTAAGGGGTATCGAGGTGAAACACCTTGGGTTATTGATGCTGGTGTAACACCTTGGGTTGTTATTCTGATTATAGCATCTTTTGGGTGTGTTATGAGGTTCCAGAGTCTGCTGTTTTTGAAGAGGACCCATGTCTCTCGGTAGTTGCTCGAGCAGTTGTGCGGGAGCCTGAACTTTGCCCTGTTAGTTTTCCCAATGGGCATGATTAAGCTTCAGAGGCTGTTCTGGTATCTCCAGGGCACCCCCTTTCCCTGATCTTGTGATCGCTGGGTTCGGGTCCCATGTTCTTACATCGGTTGTTGCATCTCAGGCTTCCGCTTCAGGTATTTCGGAGTTCGGTACCATGGCGCCTTGCCATGCCCTCGCTCGATGTGTTCACGGACGTCTTGTCTCTCAGCTGGGGTTTTGTGACCAGGTTGGCCAGGGGCATTGGGCTCCATCCTTTCGTTGGGATCACAGCACAGTGTGGGAGTTTGCGGCTGTGTGGCAGGCACTGCAATGAATTCGGTAGCTGCTGCGGCACTGAACGCCACGAAGGCAAACACCGCCTAGGAAACTGAGGCCAGAGAAGCGTCTATCCCGGTTGACATTAGCTTACGAACTGGTGCTAGGCAGCTGGCGCGGTGAGGTCCAGGGGCCCCCCCCTCCCCCTCTCGGGGCGAGGAGGGCTGCGCGGACAATCGGCGCGGCAGTAAATTGTGATGTTTGATTGTTTGCTTGTTTCCTTGGGATTGTAGGAAGTTTCTAACTCTGTTCGTTTTATTTTAGTTTCTTACCATGTGGGGTTTATTTTGTTATGCCTACCTTTCTGGGTGCCTAACTCCGGTCAATGGCAGATAAGGAAAACCCCCAACCACAGGGGGGGGGTGTTTCCAGGGTCATTGCTCCCTGAAACCTCTCTGAAGGGGCCAGGTTCTGGCACTGGTCCCTGGTAGGTCTGAACTCCATAGCTAATGTCCCAGTCTAATATAACATACATTAGCCTGATAAGCTCCAGGGAGCCATAGGGGCTCCCTACAGAAAGGTACATTGTAGTAAGGTTTTATATTAACAAATAACTAAAATATAAACTGACAGAGGTGATTACACTGGTAAAGATATATGTCTTAAGTACTAATATTGGAGAAGTGGGTACTACAAGATACAATGGGAGTTTGAAGCACAAGGTAAGAAACTATGATCATGAAATTAGCTACCTTTCGGTTTTACTTTAGAATAGGGCATGAGTTGGACAATTTTTTAATTCACCAGGAAGTGAGTTACGAAGACTGGTGATTCCAAAATATAAAGTGATCATAAGAATATAAGAATAAAAGTAACTGCAGAAGGTCTATTGCCCCATACGAGGCAGCTTCTATTTATAACCACCCAATCCCACTTGTATACATTTCCAACCCCACGTTTGAAACAATCAAGGGACCCCACCTCCATGTTACGCAGTAATTGGTTCCACAAATCAACAATCTTGTTATCGAACCAATATTTACCCAGGTCTTTCCTAAATCTAAACTTATCCAATTTATACTCATTGTTTCGTGTTCTGTCTTGTGTTGATACTATTAATACCCAATTAATATCCCCCTTTGTTATGCCCATTCATCCACTTGTACACCTCTATCATGTCACTCATAATTCTTCGCCTTGCTAGAGAATGTAATTTATGCTTTGTCAATCTTTCTTCATATGACAGGTTTCTAATTTGGGGATTAATTTTGTCATCCTACGCTGCACGCGTTCTAGTGAATTTATATCCATTCTATAGT